AGTTGTTTCCAATCACTATCTAGATTGTTACAAGCATTAGCTAGTCTTCTAATAACAGTTATAGTTATCTCCAAGCATTACTACTCTTCTATTAGCAGTTATAGATTTTCCTAAGTAGTATCTAGTTTTCCAATAAAAGTTATAGTTGTCTTCAAGCATTATCTGGTCTTCTAATAGCAGTTATAGTTGTCTGCAAGCATTATCTGGCTTCTACAAGCAATTATAGTTGTCTCCATGCAGTATCTAGCCTTTTATTAGCAGTTATAGATATCCCCAAGCAAAATCTAGAGTCTCATAAGCATTATCTAGTCTTTTAATACCAGTTATAGTTGTTTCCAATCACTATCTAGATTGTTACATGCATTAGCTAGTCTTCTAATAGCAGTTATAGTTATCTCCAAGTATTACTACTCTTCTATTAGCAGTTATAGATTTCCTCAAGTAGTATCTAGTCTTCTAATAACAGTTATAGTTTTCTCTAAGCATTATCTGGTTTTCTAATAGCAGTTATATTTGTCTTCAAGCATTATCTAGCTTTTACAAGCAGTGATAGTTGTCTCCATGCAGTATGTAGCCTTTTATTAGCAGTTATAGATGTCCCCAAGCAAAATCTAGAGTCCCATAAGCATTATCTAGTCTTTTAATACCAGTTATAGTTGTTTCCAATCACTATCTAGATTGTTACAAGCATTAGCTAGTCTTCTATTAGTAGTTATAGATTTCCCCAAGTAGTATCTAGTCTTCTAATAACAGTTATAGTTTTCTCCAAGCATTATCTGGTTTTCTAATAGCAGTTATAGTTGTCTGCAAGTATTATTTGGCTTCTACAAGCAATTATAGTTGTCTCCATGCAGTATCTAGCCTTTTATTAGCATTTATAGATGTTCCCAAGCAAAATCTAGAGTCCCATAAGCATTATCTAGTCTTTTAATACCAGTTATAGTTGTTTCCAATCACCATCTAGATTGTTACAAGCATTAGCTAGTCTTCTATTAGTAGTTATAGATTTCCCCAAGTAGTATCTAGTCTTCTAATAACAGTTATAGTTTTCTCCAAGCATTATCTGGTTTTCTAATAGCAGTTATAGTTGTCTGCAAGTATTATTTGGCTTCTACAAGCAATTATAGTTGTCTCCATGCAGTATCTAGCCTTTTATTAGCAGTTATAGATGTCCCCAAGCGAAATCTAGAGTCCCATAAGCATTATCTAGTCTTTTAATACCAGTTATAGTTGTTTCCAATCACTATCTAGGTTGTTACAAGCATTAGCTAGTCTTCCATTAGCAGTTATAGATTTCCCCCAAGTAGTATCTAGTCTTCTAATAACAGTTATAGTTGCCTCCAAGTATTATCTGGTCTTCTAATAGCAGTTATAGTTGTCTCTAAGCATTATCTGGCTTCTACAAGCAGTTATAGTTGTCTCCATGCAGTATTTGGCCTTTTATTAGCAGTTATAGATGTCACCAAGCAAAATCTAGATTCCCACAAGCATTATCTAGTCTTTTAATAGCAGTTATAGATTTCCCCAAGTAGTATTTAGTCTTCTAATAACAGTTATAGTTGTCTTCAAGCATTATCTACTGTTCTATTAGCATTTATAGATATCCCCAAGTAGTATCTAAATTGCCACAAGCATTACCTGGTCTTCTAATAGCAGTTATAATTGTCTCCAAGCATTATTTGGCTTCTACAAGTAGTTATAGTTATTTCCATGCAGTATTTAGCCCTTTATTAGCACTTATAGATGTCCACAAGCAAAAAATAGATTGCCACAAGCGTTATCTAGTCTTTTAATAGCAGTTATAGTTGTTTCCAATCAGTATCTAGATAGTCATAAGCATTATCTACTCTTCTATTAGCAGTTATAGATGTCCCCAAGTAATATGTAGATTGCCACAAGCATTATCTATTCTTCTATTAGCCGTTATAGATTTTCCTAAGTAGTATCTAGTCTTCCAATGAAAGTTATAGTTGTCTTCAAGCATTATCTGGTCTTCTAATAGCAGTTATAGTTGTCTACAAGCATTATCTGGCTTCTACAATCAATTATAGTTGTCTCAATGCAGTATCTAGCCTTTTATTAGCAGTTATAGATGTCCCCAAGCGAAATCTAGAGTCCCATAAGCATTATCTAGTCTTTTAATACCAGTTATAGTTGTTTCCAATCACTAGCTAGGTTGTTACAAGCATTAGCTAGTCTTCCATTAGCAGTTATAGATTTCCCCCAAGTAGTATCTAGTCTTCTAATAATAGTTATAGTTGCCTCCAAGCATTATCTGGTTTTCTAATAGCAGTTATAGTTGTCTCCATGCAGTATTTGGCCTTTTATTAGCAGTTATAGATGTCACCAAGCAAAATCTAGATTCCCACAAGCATTATCTAGTCTTTTAATAGCAGTTATAGATTTCCCCAAGTAGTATTTAGTCTTCTAATAACAGTTATAGTTGTCTTCAAGCATTATCTACTGTTCTATTAGCATTTATAGATGTCCCCAAGTAGTATCTAAATTGCCACAAGCATTACCTGGTCTTCTAATAGCAGTTATAATTGTCTTCAAGCATTATTTGGCTTCTACAAGTAGTTATAGTTATCTCCATGCAGTATTTAGCCTTTTATTAGCACTTATAGATGTCCCCAAGCAAAAAATAGATTGCCACAAGCATTATCTAGTCTTTTAATAGCAGTTATAGTTGTTTCCAATCAGTATCTAGATAGTCATAAGCATTATCTACTACTCTTCTATTAGCAGTTATACATAGATGTCCCCAAGTAGTATTTAGATTGCCACAAGCATTATCTACTCTTCTATTAGCAGTCATAGATTTTTCTTAGTAGTATCTAATCTTCCAATAAAAGTTATACTTGTCTTCAAGTATTATCTGGTCTTCTAATAGCAGTTATAGTTGTCTTCAAGCATTATCTGGCTTCTACAAGCAGTGATAGTTGTCTCTATGCAGTATCTAGCTGTTCATTAACAGTTATAGATGTCCCCAAGCAAAATCTAGATTGCCACAAGCACTATCTAGTCTTTTAATAGTAGTTATAGATTTCCCCAAGTAGTATCTAGTATTCTAATAACAGTTATAGTTATCTCCAAGCATTATCTACTCTTCTATTAGCAGTTATAGATGTTCCCAAGTAATATCTAGGTTGCTACAAACATTATCTACTTTTCTATTAGCAATTATAGATTTCCTTAAGTAGTATCTAGTCTTCCAATAAAAGTTATAATTGTCTTCAAGCATTATCTGGTCTTCTAATAGCAGTAATAGTTGTCTCCAAGCATTATCTAGCTTCTACAAGCAATTATAGTTGTCTCCAAGCAGTATCTAGCCTTTTATTAGCAGTTATAGATGTCCCCATGCAAAATCTAGATTCCCACAAGCATTATCTAGTCTTTTAATAGCAGTTATAGATTTCACCAAGTAGTATCTAGTCTTCTATTAGCAGTTATAGATGTCCCCAAGGAGTATCTAGATTGTCACAAGCATTATCTACTCTTCTATTAGCAATTATAGATTTCCCTAAGTAGTATCTAGTCTTCCAATAAAAGTTATAATTGTTTTCAAGCATTATCTGGTCTTCTAATAGCAGTTATAGTTGTCTCCAAGCATTATCTTTCTTCTACAAGCAGTGATAGTTGTCTCTATACAGTATCTAGCCTTTTATTAACAGTTATAGATATCCCCAAGCAAAATCTAGATTCCCACAATCATTATCTAGTCTTTTAATAATAGTTATAGTTATCTTCAAGCATTATCTACTCTTTTATTCGCAGTTATAAATGTCCCCAAGTAGTATCTAGGTTGCCACAAGCATTATCTACTCTTCTATTAGCAGTTATAGATTTACCTATGTAGTATCTAGTCTTCCAATAAAAGTTATAGTTGTCTCCAAGCATTATCTGATCTTCTAATAGCTGTTGTAGTTGTCTCCAAGCATTGTCTGGCTTGTACAAGCAGTTATAGCTGTCTCCATGCAGTATCTAGCCTTCTATTAGCAGTTATAGATGTCCCCAAGCAAAATTAAGATTGTCACAAGCATTATCTAGTCTTCTATTATCAGCCATAGATTTTTCCAAGTAGTATCTAGTTTTCTAATAAAAGTTATAATTGTCTTCAAGTATTATCTGGTCTTCTAATAGCAGTTATAGTTGTCTCCAAGCATTATTTGGCTTCTACAAGCAGTGATAGTTGTCTCTATGCAGTATCTAGCCTTTTATTAACAGTTATAGATGTCCCCAAGCAAAATCTAGATTCCCACAAGCATTATCTAGTCTTTTAATAGTAGTTATAGATTTCACCAAGTAGTATCTAGTCTTCTAATAACAGTTATAGTTGTCTTCAAGCATTATCTACTTTTCTATTAGTAGTTATAGATGTTCCCAAGTAATATCTAGGTTGCCACAAGCATTATCTACTCTTCTATTAGCAGTTATAGATTTTCCTAAGTAGTATCTAGTTTTCCAATAAAAGTTATAGTTGTCTTCAAGCATTATCTGGTCTTCTAATAGCAGTTATAGTTGTCTCCAAGCATTATCTAGTCTTCTATTAGCAGCCATAGATTTCTCCAAGTAGTATTTAGATTGCCACAAGCATTATCTACTCTAATAGCAGAAGAATCCATCAAGATATTCTGACAGGTTTATTATATAGCGTAATTTTGTTGTTAATTCAATTAATAATCTTTGTATCTACAAAAAATTTAAAGTGAAAGAGTTAATTGTTTAAATAACTTTAAGTTAAAACCCATTTTTAATTAACACTAACATCATAACTCATTTTATTTTTTTAAACCTTTTTTAACGTTAATTAAACAGTTTGTAACATCAATTAATTCTGAGGTTATTAACCCGTTTTAATTAACACCAAAACGTTATCACACCATATTGGATTATGTAAACATTAATAAAAAGCCTGATGGTTCAACTTTTTTGTTGTTATCATTATTATTATTAAGACCAAATCGATTAATACATTTTTATTTTCTTTTTTATCAAAGGGAAGCATAAGTAGCGATTGTTCCAGTTGCAAACACAGCTCGATTAACTCTGCGAACTCTCAAAATTCATCGAATAATAATAATATTAATAATAATAATAATAGCGGTGGACAAGAACCGTTTTATTTACACCCTCCGTTATCGGCTAGAAGTTTAGAGGCTCCTCATGCCCCTCAAGATGGGTTATATATTAACCCGATGAATACTCATAATAGACGTCCTGGATCGGATTGTAGCACCGGAAGTAGCAGCCAAGGGGAATCGTTTTATTTGCATAATCCGGGGGATGTTATTTATAACAGGGTTAAAGATTTATTCGAAACTAATTTGAATTCGAAGCAGAATAATGGATCGCCGGGATTTTCAGCTTTAACAGGTAAAGAAGTAATTAGTACTGTATCGAAGTATAAGACGTTCCAATTCGATTGGAAATCTTTCTTGACCGAGAAGACCATCTGTCGCGTTTCTGTTCGTTTCGAATTTCACTTCCGATTGTGTGCTCGGCTAAAGTTAAAGCGGTTTTAAAGATACAAACAGTTAACGCGAAGAATCGAAACAAGACTGACTAAAATTTATTGTTTTTGTGTTTATAGTGAAGGTAGAAGTTCATTCGAGTAGTTCTGGAGCTGGATCCGATGAAAATTTATCTTCGTCCGATTTATCCGAAAGATCAACTGGGGACCATGAACACGATTACGAAGATATTTATTTAGTTAGGGAGGAATCGAAGAAACGAGACACGATTATTAATAATGGAAATAATAATTTGAGCCAAATTCGATCGAGATCTCGAGATTCCGGATCTCATAGCAGATCGGCTTCTGCGAGTAGCTCAAACTCTGGTTGTAACGTAGTTGTTAAATTAACACCAACGGTAAATGTTTCAACATCGAGTGGATTGAAAGATTCGAAGAAGTTTAACGAATTCCTCCCGAAACCGCAAAAACTGGAAAAAGCACAAGGTAAAAAAGAAACTTATTCGGAAGAAGATCATCATTCGTTGATCATTAAAGGAAATAAGAACCTGAAAAGAACCGTTTCAGGACCACCTGAAACACCTTGCGTTCCTCCTCCTCCACCGTTTCCTGAGCGCAAAGAGGAAATGGATGAGCCTAGAGGGGCTGAGGTGGTTGAAGTGGTTGAGGAGCCCACTCTAAAACCATCCGAAATTGTTAAAGGAATGTGTAAAAGCATGAACTCCTTAAGTAAGTCAATTAAACATTTTGACCTAATTAATAGTGACACACATGTGAATAAAACCTTCACAAAATAATTGCAATTTATTTCCCTCTAATTTTCAGCGTCGGCGAAGCGGTTAAATTCATCCTGCTCCGACTTGACCATCATTAGTTTAAACGATAGTGACCATTCAGACCAAGTTGCGCATCTGGTTAACAAGCAAAGAGTGCTTCCGTTTATTCCGCCGAGTTTCCCGGGAAGCTCAGATTCAAACAACTTAATTAAACCCTCCGAATATTTACGCAGCATAAGCGACAATAAAAGAAATTCGGCGCGAAATTCCTTGGATTACGAAGAAACCGAAATTGCCGAAAAAAAAGTCGAAACACCGCCAGAAAAAGTTAGTGTGCAAAATCAAGGACCCCCACCTCCGCCTCTCCCCGATTTCTTCACCAAAGAAAAAGATAAAATGGTGCAAAAAGAATCAGAAAAAAATAAGAAACAACAACCTTTATCCGCGATTAGCATCCAAGATTTAAACTCGGTCCAATTAAGAAGAACGGATAAATTAGTGGCGTCAAAAACGTTTTCAGCACCAACAAGAAGTATGAGCCTGCAATGCTTACAAAGCGATAATTATATCGCACAAAAATCCGATTTAATCGCCGAGTTAAAAATGTCTAAAGACATCACAGGCATTAAAAAGATGAAGATCGAAAAGGCCAAAGTTGACCAAAAAGTTGAAAAGGAAATTTATACCGAAATGACCAAACAATTTACAGCAAATAATTTCGTTGAAAAAGTAATTTTTAAAAATTAATTAAATACAAAAAATTAAAATTTATGTTTTAGATCCCCGATAAAGATCCAATTGGAAATGTTATCCCCGCTTGGAAACGCCAAATGTTAGCCAAAAAAGCGGCGGAGAAAGCCCGAAAAGAACTCGAAGATCAAATCCAACGCGATTCGGAAGCGAAACGTTTACAAATGATCCCTCAATGGAAACGGCAATTAATTGCAAAAAAAGAAGAGGCCGAAATTAGAATGAAGTACTAAATCATTTTTTAATAAAAATTTAATAATAAATCTTTTATTTTTTAGACAAACTTTGTACACTCCAAAAGTTACGGATGAAAAGAAAGTTCATGATATGCAAGAGTGTCTCAAAACAACATCAGATGAGAAAAATGATTTAATTAATAAACAAGATTTAAATAATAATGGTATTTGTAATAATAATAATAATAATAATAATAATAGTGATAAAGATGATTATGATTGTAACGAAGATTCGAATGAAACGCATATTATTCCATGGAGGGCACAATTAAGAAAAACCAACAGCAAATTAAATTTGTTAGAATAAAATATTACCATTATAAGTACTTGATGCAATATTAATTTTTAAAGATGCTTATTTAGAAATAATTTCAATGTCTTTTGGGTTTTATGGAATTCTATTCTGCAATTTAAAAGTAAAGTATGAAATCGTTGTATTAGTTAAATAATGAATCCTTTGTACGTTGTTTTATGTAAATAAATCTAATTCAATATACGAAATTAAATTTTTTTGTTTNCAAGAAATTAATTTTATGGCGAATTTTGAAAATTATCGGTGAAAATTGCAACATCGAAAATTTTATCAAAATTTTTCTCAAAAACTAAAAGTTATTTTTTAAAACGTGTTGGTTCATTGGAAAGACGACACTTTTATTAACACTTTGGGAAATTTTCATACTCGTATTCCAAGAAATGGATTTTATAAGAATTTTTAAAACTTAATCGGTAAAAATTGCAAAATTCGAAAAAATTGTCGATCATTTCAAAAATTTATTTCTCAAAAACTAAAAGCGATCTTTGAAAACGGGTTGTTGCATTAAAATGAGGACACTTTAATTAATAATTGATGATATTTCCACAAGGATCCTTCGAGAAATTAATTTTATAGCCAATTTTAAAAATTATTAAAGAAAATTGCAACATCGAAAATTTTATCAAAACATCAAATATTGTTTTCTCAAAAACTAAAAGTTATTTTTCAAAACGGCTTGTTGCATTAAAAAGAGAATACTTTAATTAATAATTGGTGATATATTCACAAGGATCCTTCAAGAAATTAATTTTATAGCGAATTTTGAAAGTTATGTGCCTGGACGTAGTTGCACAACTGCACTTTTAAATGTCACCGACGATATATTAAAGGCCAAAGACGGTAAAGAGTGCACCGCTTTAGTGTTGTTAGATTTTAGTAAAGCGTTCGATGTTGTTGACCATGATATTGTGCTGTCGATGCTTCACTATATTGGAGGCGGGGAGGAATTTATAAGGTTAATTAAGACGTATTTAATAGACAGATGCCAATGTGTACAGGTCAATGGCTTAATTTCTGAACCATTGAAGCTAAAGCATGAAGAATCTCTCATAAGCTTAAAGAGTTAACTTGGCTGAATATTCACAATCGTTATACTCTACAGGCTTCAGTGCTGTATCACAAGGTTGTCACAACTGGCTCGCCTAATTATTTGAGTAAAAAGATTCAGTTTAGAGGGGATCTACACAGTATAAATATTAGAAATAAAAATGTTGTTAATCCGCCTGCTCATAGTACAGCTCTGTTTTGTCGTGCGTTTAGCTACTGTGCCTATAAGCTGTATAATTCTATCCCCGTCACCATTAGGGCCAAAAGGGAGGGTGCTTTCAGAACGTTATTGTTTAGGCATTTATTTGAGCGACAGTGACTTCTTGTTTGCTTTGTAGTGGATCAATCTAATTTTAATGCAAGTGGAATAATTTGTTTTTGTTTTATTTCATTATATTATTTTTTATTTTATTAGCTCATATATAAGATAGATTATAAGTGAAATGAAGATTATAATGCAGAATCAATTAATAGTTTTAGTTTTTAGGAGTAGGCATGTACTACGATTGAATAAAAGTGCAATTATTTTTAAGGTTAAGTGGAAGAGCAGAAGCGGGCCATATTATGGTCGCATTCTGAACTTCGCCTTAGGATTTCCACCTGTTTTGTATTTAAGTTATTTTTCTTTTTAAATATTGTTTTTTTTTTCTTTTTTGATTATCTTTATTTTGCATTATAGTAACTATAGTTACTATTATTATTGTTTGTTCTCTTTACTCTGGAAATAAAGGCAGTTTATTATTATTATTATACTAATTC